CCAGCCTCTGACAAACAGAGGCCAAGGACACCATTTTATCCCCTAGCTAATAGCCTTTTATGGATCTAACCTCCATCAAATTATCTAGCTTCTCTTTAAACTCTATTAGGGTATGTCTACACTCCCCCGCTAGTTCAAACTAGCGGGGTAGTGTAGACATACCCTTATAGTCCTAGCCTTCACAGCCTCCTCTGGCAAGGAGTTCTACAGGTTGACTACATGCTGTGTGAAGAAGAACTTTCTTTTATTAGTTTTAAACCTGCTACCCATTAATTTCATTTGGTGTCCTCTAGTTCTTCTATTTAGGGAACTAATAAATAACTTTTCTTTATCGGCCCTCTCTACACCACTCATGATTTTATAGACCTCTATCATATCCCCCCTCAGTCTCCTCTTTTCTAAACTGAAAAGTCCCAGTCGCTTTAACCTCTCCTCATATGGGACCTGTTCCAAACCCCTAATCATTTTAGTTTCCCTTTTCTGAACCCTTTCCAAGGCCAAAATATCTTTTGTAAGATATTATATGGAGTATCAAATGTAAGACACTCGTCAGCCCTGATAAGGCCTCAGCTGGACTATTGTGTGCAATTCTGGGTACCACACCTTAGGTGAGATATTGACAAACTAGAGAGGGCCCAAAGGATACCAAATGATAAAATGATAAAAGTTTTAGAAACTGGAAAGGTTAAAAAATTGGTCCTGTTTAGTCTTGAGAAAAGTAGACTGAAGGGAGACATCACAAAAGTCTTCAAGTAGTTCAAGAGCTGTTACAAAGAGGACAGTGATCAATTGTCCTTCACATCCACTGAAGGTAGGGCAAGAAGTACTGGGCTTAATCTGTGTGACGGCGCGTTGGGGGTCCCCCGTCTCCTGCACCCCAAAATGGCACAAACAGACTTCACCAGCCAGTAGAATGGAGGTTGTTTATTGTTCCTCCAGCACAGCGCAGCACAGATGTAATCTGGTTACAGCTAAGAGGCCTCAGTGCCCCCCTTGAGATAGGGGAGTCCCAGCCCCCCTCCCCAGCTCCTTCTTCCCTGCCTTGCAGCCCGGAACTAACTCTCTTCCACCTGCCTTTGTTCCTCTCCATGGGGGGTGTCTGGTTCAACAAGTTTGGCATTACCTTTGCATAGTGAGGTTTTCCCTGCTGGGTCTTGCTCCAGACAGCAGGGGTCACCACAGCCCAGCAAGTACCCCCACTACGTCACAGTAAGTACCCCCACTATCTGCAGCAAGGGAGAGTCCAATTATATATTAAGGGAAACTCTCTAACTATCAGGATAGTTAAGCTCTGGAACAGGCTTCAAAGGGAGGTTGTGGAATCTGCATTACTGGAGATATTTTAAGAACAGAGTGGACCAATACCTGTCAGGGATCATCTAGATTTATTTGGTCCTGCCTCAGTGCAGGGGGTTGGATTTGCCACCTGAAGGTCCCTCCCAGCCCAACATTTCTATGATCCCAAGACTAACTCCATTTTACCACTGGGGAAACTGAGGCTCAGAGAGATTGCCACTTGCCTATAGTCATGCAGTGGTTTGTGAACAGAATCTAGCGGTTCCGCCTCTCAACCCTTGCTCTGACCTCTAGGCAACTGTAGTACCTGAAATCCCTAAGGGCCATATTTTTAAAGGCATTTAGGACCTAATGATGCAGGTAGGCAGCTAGTAGGATTTTCAAGAGCAAGAAAGGCCTAACTCCTATTGATTTCAATGAGAATCCCATTAGATGTCTGCCTGTCTCTTAGGCACCTCACTACTATTTAAAAAGTTAACCCTAAAGGATTTGTACTGCTCTTGACCCAACTGCTCCTCTGCTTGTTATCTCAACAGAGCCATGTCTAGAAACAGAATGAGGCATATAGGTGACTGTGAGGGTGATAGGGCAAAGAGCTTTCCTCCTCTGTCTCCCCCAGCTGGTTAGTTTGAGCCAGTACTAGAAGAGGGGTGCAGAGCAGCTAGATTTGGGGTTCTCTTTCTGGCCACCCCATGGCACACTGCATCGATGCCATGATCAGAGGCTTGCCCAGAGATGGGGCAAAAACTAGGCCAGGCCAAGCAAGTCTTTCAGCAAACATGCCTATAGTAGGGGTTGGCAACCTTTTCAAACCAAAGAGCCAAACTGCATTGAAATTCAGAACAAGTGGTCAACAAAGAGCCATCTAAGAATGCTCATTGGCATGACTGAAAATACACAGCTTAATATTATTGATAATTGACGTGATGATTAATAATAGCATAAATGAAACTGTCCTCGCAGACAGAGCCTGGTTGTCACAGCTTGGAGAAACTCACCTGTGCTGTGGAGTATTTTCACCCTAAATTGGTCTCCCCATCATCACTACTAGATTGCTGAGATGTTATACGCAGTGGAAAACTGAGTGGCTCTGTAGGTTCTTGTAGGAAGGGGAGATATCTACTGCTGGGACAAAATTATAAGGATTTTAAAAGGACAGTGAATCCAAAACCCGCTCTGGGAGCAGCCACATCGCAGCCCTGGCCCCAGCTCCTGCACACAGAGCAAGCTGCCTGCCACACGACCCTGTCCCAGGAACATGGGGCCTGCCCTGGCTGCAGCTCCAGCCTGGGGAAGGGCTGAAACTAGGGCCAGAGCCACATGGTGGCTGCCTGGCTCCTCCTGGGGCACGCTCACACAGGTGCGCATCCTAGAAGGAACTTAGCAGTTGGGGATGGCCAAAAGAGCCATATTTGGTGCTGTACTGAGCCATATTTGGCTCGCGAGCCATAGGTTGCGACCCCTGGCCTATAGTGGATATCGAAAGGGCAAAGGTTCCAGTGTGTTTTGGTGCCAGACTGAGCTTTGCTGCATGTGGCAAGGGTGGACTACAGAAGACCAAACCAAAGCAAGGAGCAGGGCCAGGACTCCCATGGAGTTAGCAGGGGTTGTGTGGGTCTGAACAAGAGCAGAATTTGGTCCCGTGTCTTGAAAAAAACCAAACAAACCCTCAAGAGCTGCCCGTTGGACTTGCGTGGAACTTGGACGTTGAGAAACATGAAAAATCCAGCTCCCACTCCATGGAAATAAAGTACCTTGCGTAGCATCATCCAACACACGCCCGCCCCATGACTGCACATGCCCGCGAAACACAGTCGTAAACAGGAGGGTCCCCCAGGAGCCCCACTGCAACTAGATGGGCAAACGAAAGAGCCGTTGGTTGCAAAGCTCTGCCAGCCCTCACCAGATTCTGAAGTTCACTAGGCAGCAGCAAGTTTCTTCCAGGTCTCCAGGTATCGTTTTAAGAGTTCAGTGCGGGTTAAAAGCCAGTGCGGCTTTGGCAGGTAAGTCACTTCTAATTCAGCCTCAGCTGAGTTTCAAAATATACCAGAGGGCTTTCGACATAATGGTAATGTACAGACTCTAAACAGAGAAGGTGACCATCTGGACTATAGTCCCTCCCCTTGTTTTTTACTGGGATAGTCCCTTATTTAAATCTTCCTGCCAGCACCCTGGCACATTTTTTTAAAAAATGGGCACGTTATCCTGTATTTCCCCTGCAGCGGGATGGGGGAGGGGTGAGATGGGGTGAGAGAGGAGCTGCCGGGGGCTCCCCTCCCCGCTCCACATGCTGCAGGGTTGAATTTCATCCCTGTAGCGGGGGAAGGAGGGTGGGCAGCTGGCACGCGGCGCTTCAGCCGCTGGAGCCCCAAGTGTTAGCGGCTCCTCCTCCCCATCCTCCACTGTGGGTCTGAAGTCCCAAGTGCTGGCGGCTCCCCCCACCTTGGGGCTGAAGTGCTGAGCACCAGCAGCCCTCTTCTCTGAAGGCTAAAGCCTCAAGTGTCAGCAGCCCCCCCTCCGCTTGGTGCCCTGTATTCAGCACAGGGCAATATGGTCACCCTATAAACAGAGCTCTCAAGCCCACGTGAGTGTAGTGCACAGAACTCCAGTTCCACGAAACGTGGATTCTCCTTAAGGCAACTTTAACTCAGCAACTTGCTACTGAGGCATAGGTTGACGTGTGGGGGATGCAGGGTTGGTCTTACCATGAGGTGAACTGAGGCTGCCGCCTCAGGTGCCAGACTGGGGAGGGGGAGTCGCCACCAGGACCCAGAGAATTGAGACCTTTCAAAGTTTTGTCCCAAGCGAGGGAGCATGAGGGTGTCATTTGAGCTCCCCGCCTCAGGTGCCAAAGTGTTGTGGGCAGCCCTGGGGGATGACAAGGCTAGTAATTGTCCAGGAAACTCAGACTGTTCTGCTGAAACTCAGACTGAAGTTTCTATTTGTTTAAAGCCAAGAGAAAGCAAGAAAGAAAGGGCTGCTAATAAAAAGCACATTTGGGCTCAGATTCTCAGCTGCAATAAATCAATATAGCTCCACTGAAACCCAAGGCCTCTGTGCAGGAATTACTAGGTGAAAAAAACCTCTTTGGGTATGTCTACACTTGCAGTCTAATTCAAACTAGTGCTGCAAATGTAGGCATTCGGAGTTGCAAATCAAGCCTGGGATTTAAATATCCTGCGCTTGATTTGCATCTTCCCAGCTGCGAGCCATTTTTTGGAATTTACAAGCCCGAAGTAACTGCCCGCGTCTACATGCGGCAGTGAAACGGGCATTCGAAATAAAGCTCTAGTTCAAACTACCTGTTAAACCTCATTGCAGGAAGAATAACAGGTAGTTCGAACTAGGGCTTTATTTCGAGCGCCCGTTTCACAACTGCGTGTAGACGCGGGCAGTTACTTCGGGCTTGTAAATTCCAAAAAATGGCTCGCAGCTGGGAAGATGCAAATCAAGCGCAGGATATTTAAATCCCAGGCTTGATTTGCAATTCCGAATGCCTACATTTGCAGCCCTAGTTCGAATTAGGCTGCAAGTGTAGACGTACCCTTTGAGGTCAGACTAGGGGATCACAATGGTCCTTGCTGGCCTTAATCTCTATGAATCCATGAAATAAGTGAAGCCGCTTTACACCAGCTAAAGATCCACACTATGAAATCTGAAAAATGTCTAGTGAAAAGATCACTTGAACTACTTAAACGCTCCGTGAGGCATGGATTTATTGTTCACTTTGTTAGTAAATTTCACAGAAGGGTGATGCTTCCTTCTAAATCAATTAAAAAAATAGACTGGGCACAGCTAGAGCATCAGGGAGGGGGCTAAGTCCCGGTCCTGCAGACCACAGGGATGACTGTATCCATCTCTCAGTATTCACGTCAGCTCCTCAGGATGCTGAGAGACCTTGTCCTAAGCCCGGTTTCTGTGAATGTCCTCCACCATCCCAGGCTTGCTAGCTCTGCACGAAGAGGTGAAAATTGGTCCTGGTGAATTCCTGGTGGATGCTGTTGAGTAAGGAATCGGAGTCCTGGGTCAGCTCTGGAAGCAACTGCAGGGCAGGGAGGAAGCTCTGCTCTGGGGTGTAGGTAAATGTGAACGAGCTGGAGTAGATCAGCCCATCGTTCCTTATCAGCGAGAGCGGCACGGTGATGGGGTATCTCAGCCATCGCCAGTCACTGCCGAACGCCGAGACGTCAGGGACAACACACACTAAGGACTTGGGGCTCCTGAGAACAGTGCACCAAAAAAAGATCACATACATTACTGTAGCCTTTCCAGTGTGGAGCCTGCACCCTGCCCTGGTCACAGCTGTAGGGCAGCTTTCTTCTGCATAGGGCGCCTTTGCATAGGACAAACTCTGTTTTGCCACATGCTGGCAAGCGTTTAGTTTTGGGATCAATGATGGCTCCTGATTTGTTCAATATCCTCCCTTTTCTCTTGTGCCTCTTTTTCCCTCCTCTGCTTTGTAGGGTTTCTGTTCTAGGGTTTGGTCCTTTGGGTCCAGACTCTTACCCTGTTTTATTTTTGCCTCATGTTGCAGTCAGAGCTGCAGGGATAACACCACAAAGCCCCGGACGTGGCCTCATGCTCCCAGCCTGAGAGCCAGGCTGTAAATGCGGGCGCACTCATCAATGGTCATTGAGAGCAATCCTGAGCTGGTGCCGGCATGGACCAGATGCCATAGGAAGCCATTCCCCTCTACTTATGATGCTTTCGTATTGGTATGCTAGTCCCAGACTCGTCCTGGTTTGTCTTGTGGGTTACCCAGCACAAATCTCCCACCTAAAGCAAAGGCCTCCCAGATGTAGCTTTTTGGACCAATACCATTTATGCCACCCACCACCACCTCTCCCTCTGCCTGAGTCTAAACTGGCTGGTTCCTCGCTTTACCTGTACATAGTCTCAGCTTCCACGTCTCCAAACCAGACCCTCAGGTTTGCATTGAAAAACTCGCCCTGCACCTCCAGCATGGCCACGTCCCCACCGCCAGTTAGCTGTCACAACCAGAGCACACGGAGGGGGTCACACGCCTGACCCCACAAGGGGCTCTGAGGGCATGCAGTGACATTCCCACTGAAGGGCTTGCTGCCTTCCCTGCCAGGGGTGCCGACAGCCTCTAAGGGCGCCTGGGCAAGGTGGTGGGGCCCTGGCTCCGAGCTCCTGAAAGGGGCGGGGTCTCGGGTGGAAGGCCTGGGCTAGGGCACCCCCAGCCCTCAGAGCTGTCTGGAGTGTGTGGCGTGGCACTTGGACGGTGACTTAAAGGGGTTGGGGCTCCTGCCACCACTGTAGCAGCAGCAATGTCCGAGAGCCCTTTGAATTGCCAGGCCTTGGGGCAGCTGCCCACTTTCCCCCTTCCCCGCAGCAGTCCATCTCCCTGCAGAAGAGTGGGCAGTGCACACGGCTCTACCTCAGGAGAGGGGAGTAGGGCCCTGAGCTGTGGGTGGTCACAAGGAGAGGAAGCTGAACAGACACTAGGCCCATTTATTGAGCAGAGGGGAAAAGATCAAATTGTATTGATTCCGCAAACCATCTGTGAAAAGTCTGCCCGTCACATGCCCAGAGGGCAGCCCTTGGTAAGAGGTCTGGGGGCAGGCGATTCAGCCGCACTTGCAGAGTTAGGGGAGGGGAGCTGCTTAGATTTGCAGCCACTTGTGTGTAGGTAAGTTAGGTTAACAAAAGCCTCCCACGGGATGACAAGCCAGCCATACCTCCAGCACGGTTATAAGTGGGACTGGGCTCACGGGATGCTGAATGCAGGCCAGGCTGTCACTGAACGTGTACTCCACAGTCTCCGTCCCCAGCCGCACTTGCAGAGTTAGGGGAGGGGAGCTGCTTAGATTTGCAGCCACTTGTGTGTAGGTAAGTTAGGTTAACAAAAGCCTCCCACGGGATGACAAGCCAGCCATACCTCCAGCACGGTTATAAGTGGGACTGGGCTCACGGGATGCTGAATGCAGGCCAGGCTGTCACTGAACGTGTACTCCACAGTCTCCGTCCCAAGAGAGGCCTGCATGGAATTTCAGTGTCACGAAGGCCACGTGCCTGCGGGGTTGAGAAAATTGCTGGGCCCCTGAGTTGGGGGGGGAGGGGGGCTCTGTGCTCCCGGAAGGGGTGTGGCCTCAGGTGGAATGGGTGGGGCTGCCAGCTCCCAGCGCTGCCTGGTCCATGCTGCGCCCCCTCTGCGCCAAGCCCTTAGCATTGCCTGAAGCATGCCGCCCAGGACTCCAGCAGTGATTTAAAGGGATCAAGGTTCCAGCTGCTGCTGTTGTGGCAGCGGCGGCTGGGAGCCCTGGGCCCTTTTGAATTCGCTGGGCCCCAGGGCTACTTGCCCCTTTGCTGCCCACCCGTCAGCAGGCCTGCACACACCATAGTGGTGCCAGCAGGGGACCGTAGCCCGGACCCCTCAGTCCTATTCCTGACTCTGTCATTGTCACTCCACCACTCTGTGCTGCTGCCTCGCTGTCAGTCGGGGTCAATAATTCCTTTGTAAATGAATCTGAGAGTCCTGAATGGAGGGCGCTATATAAACACATTGCTATTGCCAATGCTATTGTTATTCGCCAGCGGCCGCAGCTTCACGTTCAGGGCGAGGGAGATGAACTCTGCTGGCCTGAAGGAGCGGCGAGGATCAGTGACTTCACCCTGAAACACTTCTGGCTGAACACAATCACACGGAAGCTTGGCTATGTGACTGCGGGAGGCGGCAAGAAGGGCAGGGCCAAGTGGGGAGCGAGCGAGGGGGAATGCCATGTTGCTATGGGGTGACAGGTGAAATCAGAGCAAATCTCAGCATGGGCAGGTGAGGTGTGGGGGGGTCTCCACCCACAGGTTCGCTGCTTGTGCCCACAACACAAGAAGGGCTGAATTTCACCTGGGGGCTGAGGGGGACTTCAAGGTAAGGAGCTGCAAGTGATGGACTCAGAGCAAGTGACAGAAGGAGGAGCTGGAACTGAAGGGAGTTTGCTTCACTAGCATCTGGGCAGTTTCCCACTTCACGCTGCCTCCCCTGGAACTGGATGACTGAATTACCTGGAACTGGATCACTTTCTCAGTCGAGAGACACAGGTACATCCTTTCGCTGCCCTGGAACTGGAAAGCGCACTTGTGGAGCTGGGAGATGGGTTCATCCACATCCAGCATGGCATACTGTTTGGTAACTTTCCGAATGATCTGTGGGGAGGGACACACAGGCAGGCGGACTGGCTGCGGCAGGCAGCAGCTCAGCGGCTGGAGGGAACCGTCAGCTCCAGTGAGTTCAGCATTTTTATCCTTCAGAGATTTTCTCAGCCTGAAACCTGTTCTGGGACCAGTCATGGGAACGCCCTGCCCCCGCCCCTATTGTCTGACATGGACACATAGAACAAAATCAGCGCCTGGCTTTCTATAGCTTGTCCCATTACTGCCCTCTTGTTCGCGACACCAGAATGGCTTGCAGAGGGGTATCATTTCCCAGAAGGCATTGCTCCATCTTGACTGGGTCTCCAGGCCACACTGCATGCTGGAATCTGTTATCTCCATAAGCCACACTTTATTAATAAAGGTCAGAATGGCTGCAGCCTGCTCTGTGTTATGCCTCAACTGCCAGCCACTGGCTGAGCAAAGTTGAGGCATGGCACTGAAGCCGGAAGCTTTCTCCATCCTGTCTGATGCTAGGAGCCTTACCAGGGGAGGCAGGGTCACGCCGGTGGCTGTGCAGATGAGCTGGACGACAGAGCCGTAGCGAATGTACCCTTCCCGCAGTGGAAACTCACCCCGGGTGCAGTGCTCATCAGCTTCCCATGGAAAGGAAAAGAGATGGAGAGTTGCCAACCGGGAACAAAAAGACGACCACAGCTCACTCTGGTCCAGCTGCAGGACCATGGCAGAGGAGAACTCTCTCTCCATGGAGCCGGGCATCACAGTGGATGAGGAACACTCGCCAGGCAGCTGGTAACATTCTTAGTACAAAGCTCACTCCAATTTGTGCATTTTCAAGGCGCAGGGTAAATGCAGCCTGCAGAAGGGAGTGTTCCCATTCCATTGCACCCGTGTTTTCCCTTGCAACAGGAGCAGGCAGGTCAGCACGCTGGCAGCGGCAGTCTCTGCAGGCAGGGATTACATTACCTCTCCTACAAAGTGGCCAGGCCTTTGGGCTCCAGCCACGTGCCAATGTGGCCCTTGGAAAGGCACAGCCTGAGCTGCCCTTGCTCAAACCCAGTGTGCTTTGGAAGCCTGAGCCAAAGCTTGTTTCAGTCAATGGAAGTCTTTCCACTGAGCTCAAAGGGCACTGGATCAGGCCTGAGTGAGGAAAGGGCTTGGGGCGTCAGGGATAAGCTGAGACTGCTCCCAGCCCTTTCTCCCGCTGTCTCCATCTTGGAGAATGACACACCAGTGCAGGAGAAGGGAAATGGCTTGTTACTGAGTCTGGGCCACGCTCTGGGGTGCCAGGAGGCAAAACATGGTGGCAAAGGGAAGGGAAGGCAGAGAGGTGACCAGTCCTGGGAATGGGGTGGATGGAGGAGGTGCATTCATAGGGAGGATATTTTCACACTGCCTGGGAGTGCCGGTAGCAAGTATCAAAGAAACCAATGTGGTCAAAATAGGTACCACCTCCTATCTGTTCTTGGTACTTAGGCGGCCCCATCATTGTAGCGTCACAACGGCTCGCGCTCTTTCATGTAATTATTCTCACAATGCCCAGGGAGGAGGGCAGAGCTAGTTTAGATAGGAGCTACAGCCTACACCCTCAACATAAGTAGGCTTAGGCCTTGTCTTTACTTACTTGGAGAGCGATGCTCTGGAGATCGATCTTCCAGGGTTCAATTTAGCAGGTCTAGTAAGGACTCACTAAATCAGGCCTGGGCAAAATACGGCCTGTAGGCCAGATTCAGCCCACCGAGCCACCAGATCTGGCCTGCAGATGCTATGGGGAGCCCCAGGCAGGCTCCCCGCTTGCCTTGCCCCACCTGCATGCTGCTCAGAAAAGTGGCTGTGGGGCGGTTTTTATTTAAAAACTGTGAGTCCGGAGGGGAGGGGGGAAGCTTTAGGAACTGCTCCTGCCCCCAGCATAATCCCATTGGCCAGTTTCTGGCCAGAAATCGGCCAATGAGATCTGCCTGTTTCAATAGCAGGCAGCCATGAAGCACAATGGGCTCCAGAGCACATGGCTGCAGCCTGTGTGGAGGTAGGGGGGGCTGATTCAGGAATGGCAGCTGGTTGGTAAGTCTCCTGGCAAAGCCTACCTCTGGCACCCCAGCCCCTCCTTTCCCCAACCCTCTGCCCCCTACTCCACATACACAAATCCTCTGCCCCCCTCCTGTACCCATATCCCCTCCCAGATCCATAATATAATGGAAGAATGCGGCCCAAATTCGATCACTTTCCAAATTCTTGGAGTGGTCCCCCATCAAAAATTATTGCCCACCCCTGCACTAAATCAAACACTGATGGTGCCCCCGTAGACCCTGGTACTCCACAGGGTCGTGAGGAATAAGGGAAGTCAATGGGAGAGTTTCTCTTACTGACCGCCTGCAATGGGGACGCTGAGGAAATTCGACTTAAGGTACGTCGACTCCAGCCATTCTATTCATGTAGCTGGAGTTCTGTATCTTAAGTCGACTTTCTCCCTAAGTCTAGACCTGGCCCTTTCATTGGCATCTGGGACTAAATGACTGAGTGAAGGTCACACAGGAAGCCAGCACTGGAGCAGAGAATTGAATCCAAAACTCTGAAATCCCAGACTAGCCACCTACCCAATGGACCATCCTTCTACCCCCTGCAGAGCTCTGTCTGCAGGGAGGGAGGAGAAATGGGCTGCAAAGAGACACAGACCTCCTGCTGGAAGCTGACCTCATGGCTCCTGACAGTTGATACTTCTGGTGACCTATGATTATGACTCATTAAAACCAGTCAGTGCCATTGTTCAGCTAGGAGTTGACTGCCCTGTTTGTCCTTCATTATCACTATGCTTGTGTGGCCAAATCTACCCTGTTAATGAACCAAGCTCCATTGACTTCCCCCGCCACGTACCAGCAATGAATTTGGCCCCCTATAGACTGCTGGAGTTTGCTGCACATGTAAGGTCCTCACCCAGGTGCAGAGTGAATGCTGCCCATTGCCTGGCGCTAGCGATGAAGGCGCCGCCCTCCACGGACAGATAACGGGTGCTGACCGTCTGGGAGCGGAGGCGGTTAAAGAGAGAAACCTTGGACCCAGATGAGATGCACACTGCAAAAGACAGACAGACGCTGGCATTATGGAAACCCACTGTAACCACGATTAGCTTGCCTGAATACTGGATCATGGCTGAGCACTTGGATAGCTACAGAGGCCAGATATTGCTTGGCATAGAGATGGGATAAAAAATGCAGCGAACCATCATGTTACAAAATCTTGTTCTTCTATGACTGCATACTCCTCCTGGTGTGTGAGTGAGATCCTGGCAGACAAAACACCTTGAAAAACCGGTGACCTCTATAAGGTAAGTAATCATTCTTCTTGCTGCCGATATTTCATCATTTCTTCAAAACCAGTGGCAGAAAAGACCTATTAAGTCATAGCTTGTTCATTATGGGATTGTTTTCCCCTGTTCTATGGGACTTTAGCTAATGCTCCATGTGTTGTTCTATTTCTGTAATAGCATGTGGTTTGAAAGCACTGCTCTGCCATTCTCAGACTCCCTGGTGCTGTCACACTGAAGCTGGGGCTATGCAGGTGTACACGACATAATGAACACTAGCCCTTTCTGGATGGCTTCCCCTTTATCCAAGTACCAGCTGAACTGGACTGTTTACAAACCAATTCCACAAGCCAAATACACAGGGAAGGACTGGAACTACAACTCATTCACAAGTTCGATTCTAACGCCCATGGACTGAATAAAGATACTGGATGGCTGGGTCATCATCAACCTACCAAACAATGAAGGTGACAATGGTTCTTGGTCTATGTAGAATCTCATAATACCATCTACAAGTTTTGTCAGTAATGGTTCTTATTTGCCTCTTTTGACTATCCAGCCGTTTAGGTACTTAGACACTATTTGTTTGTCCTATTACATTCCAGCTCGGCTTTCCCCTTGATAATTTTTACCCACTTCCTCTACTTGTCCCCTCCCCTCCCATTTTTTCCTTCTTCCACCCCCCTTCCCTTCTCCCCTATTTATTTTGGTCCTGGACATCCAACACTCTGGTCATCTGAAGAAGCGGGCTGTGCCCATGAAAGCTCATGATACTATCCACATGTTTTGTTAGTCAGTGCTACCAGACTATTTGTTGTTTTTTTAAGTTTATCCTTTACAGACCAACTTGGCTACCCCCTGAAGCTTCTGGACTTTTAAGATGAGTGATGTCTTTGTCTGAATGTGTTGCACAGAACCAGATAAAGGTCCCGCATTAGATCTTTTCACAGAGTGGTAGGATAAATTCTCAAGAAAGTGGACATAAATATGCCCTGATCCATTCTTCCTTCTGGTGACTTCACTGGACTTTGGATCAGGCAGCCTATAATGCACAAACTTGCCACGTGGGAAGACTCAGTCCTCTATTTGTGATCGTTTCCTGTTTGCTTTACATCCGTACCCCATTCTGATAAAGCATCTGAAAAACTGATTCAGGTGTTAGCTACTCAGACATT